AACCATTCCCCTCGTTCTATTGCTACCTCCCTCTTGCTTATCTGAAGTGGGCTGTGTCCGGTGCCTTTAAATGAATATACACTAAGCATCAGAGTAAAAACATATTAACTTCATACACATCATTGACAGATTAGTTACTCTTGTTACTCTTGTTAAGCTGCATTTGGATGGAAATTAGATTTTTTGTGTGTGTGTGAGAGTTTAAAATACTTCATTTTAAACACTCATACTGGGCTAATACACTCAGGAAACATTGCATTTCACTTATAGCTAATTTATTTGACTGATTTCTTCTGGGTTGCTATGTTTCAAAAGATTTTTTTAGAGACAATAAACCTCGCCTGATAAATTCTTTTGCTTTTTATAGTGTTTGTAGGAAGAAAATGTCTTTCTGCTTTTCCAGTCTCTAGTTAGTTTCATAACTTAAAACTGAGCGATGATGGGATTTAACTGATGAAACTATATTCTTATTTATTTAGGAAGCAATAGGAGATTGAAAAAGCTAGTTTAGCACTTCAAGAAGTAATATTTCCAAGTACTTAGCTAGGATCTCTTTGCCATATTTTATTGTTGGCAGCCTGTATTATCCTGCGTAAAATTTTTTTCACATGAATTACTTGATTGGATAATAGTAAATATAGGTATAAATAGCAGCTGTTGTACTTTAAATATGTACATTAAAATAACTGTAATTCAAGTTATTTTGTTAAATAACTTTGAATTTAGTTTGAATCTAAACTATAAGATTTAATACACAGGATGTAGATAACCAACCCAGCCAGCCTCAGATGCATCTGTAGACCTCTGTCATAGGAGAGGTTCGTGGTTTGCCTGTTGGCTCATGAGAAAGCTGCCTTTTAGAAAATGAGAGCAGTGGGCATGACTTTTGGAAATAAAGTAGATACCCAGTTTTGGACTACATATGTCTGAAATGTCTTTGTTACTTTTTGTAGAAGATGCTGATCTTCATTGCTTTTTCTCCTTGGATGAATCTCGAGTCATCTTGGATCGGAAATCAGTCAAGCTCAAACTTGTGGGAGATGATGTTGTCAAATAAGGGAGTTGCCCTCAGTTTTTCCAATATTCGTGATTCACCAAGGAGCTGGTAGACATGGGCAGTCCATCATACTTCTGAAGGAGATTAGCTTCCTGATCAGGAAAATCTCATCAAATGTAGTGTGGAATCACAGTAAATGAAAAAGTCTACTGTTATTCAACATTGAGTTCTGGCATTTAAAAGGTATTTTTGTTAGTTTCCATACCCATCTGCTTCCTGCGTATGGAATGGGTTCGTTTCTGTAGGTGACAAATTTGAAGAGATAAGCGTGGCACGGAATATGAGCATGCTAAGGCACAGTGCACACAGACATGGTGATCTTTACTGAGTGTCATCTCTGACAGCTTTTGGTCACCTTACCAGTTTGACGGTGTTTTACTTGCTTGTAAGTTAAAGTGATCAAATGTATGTGTGTTGGATTTTTCAGAAATACCAAGCTTGTGATATTTCCAGTTTCCACCAGCAGAGGCCATGGAGCTGCTGGAGTAGGTCCAGAGGAGGCCACGGAGATGCTGAGGGGCTGGAGCACCTCCCCTGTGGGGACAGACTGAGAGAGTTGGGGCTGTTCAGCCTGAGAAGAGAAGACTCTGGGGGGACCTTACTGCGGCCTTCCAGTTCCTGAAGGGTCCTACAGGAAAGCTGGGGAGGAACTTTACAAGGGCCGGTAGCGATAGAATGAGGGGAATTGTTTTAAACTGGAAGAGGAGAGATTTAGACTGGATATTAGGAGGAAATTCTTATTACATATTAAATGGTTATAATGTTAGCAAGCCATTCTATTGTGGAGTTGGTGTAGGAGTCTTGCACAAAAGTTTAGTGGTGATGGGTTATTGGTTTGGTTTTTTTTTTAAATGCAAAATAATGTGTAAAGTCACCTGAACAGAGCATTAAAATGTCACCAAAATGTGTGTGTTAGTTCTTCAGAGTGCTTGGGAATTGCCTTCTCCTTAGCTTATCCAGATGCCTCTGTGGACATGTGATATGATGCGGCCTTTCTGATGGCTTTGAGAGCTGGTGCCTAAGGATAACAGGGAGAGGTGGCCTTTTTGGAGGTGACGTGAATAGTTGAGTACCTGAACCTAGCACTGTTGGTACAGTTTCCATTCCTGATAATTTTCCATTTCTTATCATTGTTTCTGCCACTGTTTTGGACTGACTCTCATTTTAAAAACCTGTAAAGATGCCCGGCATACTTCCATAGCAAGCGTCCAGCATAGAAACCACTGAAGTACTGCTTCAAGTCCCTTCCTTAAATTTTCTTGGGTGTCCAGCTTACCCTGTCTTCTGGTCTTGCTCTCTCTACCCTTCCTCCTGTCTTGTGGTGTACAGCTGCCAAACTTAGGGAGATAAACCTGAAAGGTCCCACGTTTTTTGCTGATGCTCAGCTGTGTAGTGCAGTGTGCTGGGCAGGCAGATTCCTGGTCAGTGATGGTTCACTTGACAAGGCGGGTGGTTTCCTGACTGCCTGTGTTAGGAGATGCGCAGAGCTGCAGGTCAGCCCGCAGCTGCTTTAATGCTGCTCCTTGCTGGAGCTCCATGCTCACCAGCCAAGCTTGGGAAGTTTGACAGCCTCCATGTGCTTAACATTCCTAGAGCACTTCTTTGTGGCCAGGTAACTGTGTGCAATGGGACAGCGAGTCATGTGCAGGAACACTTCAGGAAGAATGGGTCATTACCTTTTACTAATCGAGGTTTATAGAGGTTCTGCTTATGCCAGTCCAGATACTGCCTGCCTTCACTAAGAAGTGTTTTTATAACTAACAAAGTGACTTTCACAGTTGGGACAGCTGCCTATTGCAGTGGGATTTGCATGCTCATGAGATACGTAAGGACTGTGTAGTGGTCATGATCTTAAAGAACAGGGCTACTCCAAATCTCTTAAAATTTGCGGATAGCAGGTGAAAGTGTGATATAGTGGCAAGAAAATGCACTAGTTTAAAGTAACCACTAAAGCTCCCGAAGTATTTGAATGAATTATGGATGCAGTTAGCCAGTGTTTAATTTGTCAGTTTTTCAACTACTAACTTTATAATCAATCTAGGGTTTTTTTGTTGATCTGGGTTTGGACTGGTTTGGTTCTCTGCTGTTATGAAGGTGCCTACAACTAGAAAGTTTCCTAGAAATGTGTCCTCTTGGTTTTCTGAAACTGGTCATAAATTGCTAGCTTTCTTTCAGACTCTCTGGGCGTTCATATCTGTTCAATATCTTCATGTGAAGAAAAAAGAAATCTCCAAAATGTTGTAATTTTCTAGGATACAGTAGCAATTTTCTGAACCACAAGGCTACAGACCACACGTTTTCATAGGAATTCTTTGTGTGTGCAACCAGTGTCCTCTTTCCCAAATGCCTTTGTTGCTTTACCATAGTATGAATGCCTTTAGTATATTGAACTTCACAGTCATTATCAGACAGGAAAATGCTTTTGTTTGCACTGTATTGCTGGGATTTGGACATACAGAGGTTTTTTTTTGCTGAAATTCACAGAAGGAAGCCTGTGGTGAAGAGGAGAGGGAGAGCCTGGTCTCTGGAGGCTGCTGATAGTTCCTTGGGTTTTGGCGGGGGTTTTATTTGGTTTTTTTGGCTTTTTCTTCTTCCCTCCCCAGCTTGTCTTTTCCTGCACCCAGTAGAATATGCAGTTAATACTTTAAATCACCAACATTTCATTTCCCGACCAATAGTGTTTTTTGGTGAATGTGCTGGCACAAAGAACCAGTATATCCAGTTTTCCTCAGTTATGAGACTTCTTCATGTCTGGTGTGCATGTGAGAGAGTTGGGGTCTTTGCTTGCCTGCGTAAGTGGGGCCACAGTGGAATCGCAGAGCGGTGGCCAGGGTGCCCTGGAGCACTGAGCAGTGCTGTCCATGCAGCATGGCCGTGTGGAAGACCACTTGGTACGCCTTCGTGGAAATAGTAAAGTCTGTAGATTAAGCCCTCAGTACCTCAGCATAATTTACCAGGGTTTGTTTTTCTTTCTGGATTTACAGAGATATGAAAAATGCTGTAATTGGAAACAACAAACAAAAAGCCAACTTGATTGTTTTGGGAGCAGTTCCAAGGTATGTCCTTTGCTACTCTCCTTTTCACTGATTCACAACAGGTCTGGAATAATGATCCTTAGATCACGGGCACTTTTTTGTTTTAACTTTCATTGTAGTTGACTGCATACTTTCTTTAATGTAACAGAGAGTCTTGAAATATTTGTTAAACTCGTGTATTGTGGAACAGGCTATTGAGTAATGCTTTTAATTAAGAATTACGTAGAATTCTCTAAAGTAGCCTTGGTGATTTTTATTAAACTTTGTCAGCTCAGGAATGAAATCTAATTTCTGACATTGGTAATAATGACGGGTGAAAGTGGTTGTATCGTAATCCTGTTCTTTACAATTGGCCGGTGAGTTCAAAGTGAAAATGTGTGAGGTTATGTTAAAAACAGAATTTAAAACTATTACAAAGCTTCTGAGATAATTTACTTGTCCTCCTCACCTGCTTCGGAGGATTAAAAACTATAGATCATACTTTACTGCTAAGTTACTGCTTCAGCTCATGTTAACACTTTTTGGATGCTGATTCCACTAGTGCAGATCTAACAGGTAACTGAAGCTACTGGATCGCTCGCTGCAGCTTTCATTGCACCCCTCTTCTCCTCCAGCTTTCTTTAAGCCATGGTTTGCAGCAATGGAGAAGGAAAACACTGAGCACTGCGTGACTTCCACTAGCAGGATGGGACCCACCTGTGATCCTTTTGCTTAAGTGGCAACTGGGTCCCAGTCTGTCCTGCTTGAGAGATGTGTTTGGCTTGTCAAAAATGGGGTTTATTTGTAGAGTATCTTCCCATTTACAGATGGAGTTTGTGTCAAGACTAGTCCTTTAAATTCTCTAGCTTTGAGGAAACCCCCTCTACAAAACCTGCTGAGTTCTCTTCCGTTTTGACCAAGTAGAAACAGGTGAAGAGAAGACTTCCTGTGAAATGGAAAGATCCGAGTGGATGTTTGTTGAAGACTGTGAGGCTTAAGGAATGTTTTTCAGCAGCAGGTCCTAAGGGATTCTTGTGGCCACTGTTGGTTCTTGTGGCTCCCGTTTTAAAAGCAACCGAAGATCTCAAACTCCCAGATCTAGCATCTGCCTGATCCTAATTTTGTAGGACTTCACGTTCCTTCAATGAGCCTGCTTTCTGCTGTTACTTGTTCTGTGCCCAGTCATGACAGTCCCAAAGTTTTGTCCTTCTGATGTTAATGCCTTCTTGCTGCCCAAGTAAATAATATGGTTAACCTAGATCTGCAAATTAATGAGCTTGCAGAACCTTAAATGTAAACTCTCATGCTTGTTCTTGCGTCAGTACAAGCTATCCTCAATGGACAATGAGTTTAATGTTTTAACGTCAAGGCTTTGAGGTATAGGTGAAGGTAAACTGGCTGGATTCTCACTGGCTAAAGCTTAAATGGCATCACCTACCCCCAAGTGCCTTTCTGAAAGCTTTAGCATTTCCTCAAGGCATTGGTGACAGATGGAAACAGGCTACAGAGCACTTGGATTAGAGAACTTCCCTTGTTCTCTCTATCAAGATGATGGGAATTCATTGGCTTTTTTGTTGTGCCTTTGAATTCATTCAGTGGCTGCTGAAGCCATGAGAGCCTTTGGAGTTCCAGTCTGCACAGTC